TTCGGTTTCCCTGTTTTCCTGTTTTTCCTGCTGAAATTTCAATAATAACATTTGTATGAAGCTGTTTATGTCCTGGCGGCCAAAGGGAACTGTTGTTCTGCGGTTGCCTGCCGTTGACAATGTGGATGACAATCATGTCACGTCACGGATAAGGTGCTTTTGGAACCCCTCTCTATATATTTTACCCACCATATATTATTTTGTCCCTGTTTGGGGTGCTTAACAGGCAACTCGCGTTTGCCTTTTGTTTGCTGCCTTATTTTTATTATATTTATGCTGCTGCACCCTACATTCCCTCAACCCCCTCACATGTCAGCAAAAATCGTTTACGCTTCATTGTTTTTACTCAATTTTGTTGATTTTTTCCCGCTCACTTGCCAGCCTCTCCAATTTTGTTACTTTTGTCTGAGGTCGGCTCTTTTATTTTTGCTCCACATCTGCGCTTATCCGCCAAAAGTTCGCTCTATGCAAAGTATAAATCTGAATAAATTGAAAAGTGCCACCAGGAAAAAAACCAAATATGAAATAGCCTCACTTTGAGTGCTTAACGCTGGCTTCAAAGAGCTCAGAGCCCAGTTGCCCATTGCACACAAAATCTAAAGCCAAAAAAGCGAAATATATCGAAAATGATTAAGGCCACAAAAAAAAGGCTGACTAAGGATTTTTATCGATTGAACGGGTCCAAGTTCCGTTCCCAATTCCCATTCATATATGCATGGGGCCAGCTTAGTTTTAAGTCTGCCTCTAATCAAAATTTTTCGCAAACAAAGTTTCCCTTTTACACCAACATAATACGGCGGCATTCCGGCCCTAAAAGTTGCCAACACATTTTCCAATTCACTTTGCAAGTCTGTAAATTGAACGTTTAGCGTGTGTGTGTGTGTAAATTGTGTCTATAAAGCTTTTCCCGATGATTTATGAGGGGATGGGAAAAGGTAAGACTTTAACACTTGTATTTTTGATTCAAAAAAGTAAATATAAATGTATTTTGCATTGAGAACATCTAAATAATTGAACCGATTTACTTAAACTTATTTATGGTAAATGTAAAAATATTTGAATACATTTTCTGTTCAATTTATAATTTAAACTAGAATTTTTGCCAAGCAAACAACAATATTCACTCGTTTTAAAATAAATAATAAAGATTTTAAGTAAATTATTCTGTAATATATACAGCAAATAAAATATTGTAAAAAACATTTCCTGGCAGAGCATGAAATTTAGGTCAAAGCTCAATTTAAATGGTTTTCAATTAAATTATGAAATCTTTTGCCAATATACCGAGGAAAACCTGAGCCGGAAACAAATTTAAGCGCAGGCAACTTAACCTAATGAGGCATTTAACTGCCGTTCAACAATGTCAGCAAACTCACATAATCCACAGGCCTTCGCAACGAAAACACAAAAGTAAGAGGAAGTAAAGGCAAACGGCAACCGGCAACAACAAGGACTGTAATGTGCCACTTGAGTGCCTCAAGCGAGCGGCCAGCCAGCAAAAATCTCAGAACAAACATTAATTACACAAGGATTCTCGCCCAGACACAAACTACCGTTGACTTTAATATTTATAGTCTCTTCGCAGGCGGCAAGCAGAAAAAAAAATTTGCTGCTTAAATAAATAAATGACAGCGGGGAGAAACGAACGGGAAAAAAAAACACAAAATATATGCAGAACGCAGAGTCGAGAAAGAAAATTGAGCAGCGGAGGGAGATGCTGAAAATATGCGCCCACGCATAATTATATGAAAATTCGCAATAATTATAAATAATGCAAAGAGCGCTCAAAATGCCAGCAGAGAAACACTCGCCACTTCCGACAACGTCGCCACCTGATGGCAGCGACATCATTATCATCATCATCATCGGCGAGAACATCGTCAAGTGCCACGCCCACCATCCTACTTAACCACTACGAATTTCCGCTTCCGTTAAGGCGCGAGCGTAAAATTAAATCAGCAACAAAATATTCTATGCAAATACAAAAATATAAAAAAAGGAACGCACTCTGCTCTTGCCAATCCGATGGAAAATGTGTATTTGGCTCAAGCTTTCCTTTCGCCTCTTCTATTCTGTGCTATTTTTTCACCGTTATCGACCAGCAATTAGAGACCTGAGAAAATATAAGTGCATAAACCTGTTCAAGTAGCTAAAAATTGGATTCCCAGGGAACTTCTCGTCTATGAAAATTGGTTCTCGGATAAAAGTTTTGCGATTTGAGTGGGTTGAAAGTGGGCATGGAGTGCAAATTTTTGATTAAATCAATTTCTTAGTTTCTACAACTTTTGAAGTGCATCCAGAAATATTAAGTTTATGTATTTTGGTAATTCCTTATTAAATCGCAAAGTAAATGTGAATGTTAAGGAATATATTTCGGCCATAAATAAATATTTATTTAATGGCTAATTAAATAATTAAAGTTTTACAAGAAAATCTATCTCAAATTTATAATGAAGATAAAATCGATTTTTAATTTTGGGTACATTTTAGGGATTTATTGGTAAACAGAAATATTTATGGAAAAAAAAAATATTCCGCTGAAAATGTATTTATTTTGTAATCAAAATCTCTAAATACAATATGTATCTTCACTTCGGGTTTCAATTTTAAATTCCGTCTAAAAATCCTCCCCAATTTATTTTTGTATAAATTATCTGTCAAACCCATGCTAAAATGTGTATGTTTTTCGGTATTTTCAGCGCTCAACCCTAATTTATTTTTGGGAAAAAATTAAAACGTGTTCCCTCATCTGTCAGATTCAGGGTTGAATTGAACCGAAATAACAACAGTTTTGTTATTTGAAAAAACAATTGGAGTTTGCCGACCTGGTCATCTGCTCACCTCATCGAATCGAATCGGATCGGATGGTTGTTTTATTTGCCATCGATGGCTAAAAATGTATTTACGCACAAATATGCCAGCGACATTTTGGCCAGGAGCAGAGATTGTGTGGGCTTTGCAGTGCGGGACCCGCAATAAAATACCCATAATTCCACATGTAGAGATTGAGGGGTTTACCGCATTTCCATTTCCATTCCCATTCCTCCATTCCCATTCACAACTTATTCTGCACCGCTGGCTGGGTTAATGTTTACATTTTATTATGCTAAACTAAAACCAACAGTTTTATGCGATTTTTTTTTTTATTGGCTTAATACGCTTCACGGAATCATGGTTGTTTTCATTCAGTTGTTTTACGGCGGACGCTACCTTTATGGCGGAGCTGTAGATTTTCTTTATCGTTATCGTTACATTTCTGTCTGTCGATTGAAATTGAAAATCTTATCATAAAAATCATGTCGTGACTGGGAAAATGGTAATGGGAACGACTACTGCAATGGCAGAAGGATACTTGTACAATCGCAAAACGAATCTTTATTTTATTTGCCGTTTATATTGGAGATTTATTAGACGGACGAGGGGTAGGGGGGGCATATTTCTTGAAGTGGCCCATAACGACTTTATTGCGTGATGGCTGGCAAAAACTGTCAATAGCTACCCCCCTTTTCCCACCCACCGCATTTAACAGCTCATCAGGCAACAGAAGTTGGACTCCCTGCTCCCTGAACAGCACACTAAAAACCTTGGCAATCAGTGGAGCATAATTTGTACAACAATTTCCGCTGCAGACCAAGTCCACAAACCGGGATTACGGTTGGGCTTCTTGGGTGTCTGTGTTTCTGTGTGGTCAAAAGTCAAAAGTCCGTTGAACCCCAGCGAAGCGTAAATGTTTTTCCCGGTCCTCGCCTTGTTTTTCCTCTTGGTGCTCCGTTTTTCCTTTCCAATGATTCAATAACACGTGTTAGCCGGCCCAGAAAAAAAGAGCGAAACAACCTCCTCGTCGGCTGATTAGAACAATTTCAATTTTCACGCGGACATTCTTCTTTTTTTTTCTTTTTTGCTTTTGGTTGCCTCTGGCTTTTTGCAACGTCAGGACCTTTGGGCACGAAGGTCATTCAATTTGATTAAGCAATATTTTCGTTTGTTTGGGATGATTTAGCAGGATATTTATGTGTATGTGGGCGTAGAGCCCATGACAGGTTCAACATTCCAAAGTCATGCCAGTCTTTTTTTTTGACAATCAGTTTGGGGCAACTTTCGGTCATCCATTAACCCATTGTTTGGGTTTTAAGGACTTAAAGAGTAGTTATAGTCCTTAGGAAATGCCTTATTTATTTTATATATACAGTTTCTGAATGAAGATGTGATTTTTTTTGCGTATAATCGAACATTTTTGCAATTAAGTCTTAAATAACCCATAATAAATTAGGTTCTCAAATTGTTTTCTTGCATAATTAAATGTTTTGGCTCTAAAAATTATATACAAACAAAAATTAAACAAAGTTTAATGAAGAATTGTTCAAGCTTTAATTTTAATAAAACAATATTTTTCATAAAACTGTAGAAAACTGTACAAGTTTTATTTTAAGAGCTTATTTTGTGACTTTTTGCCGTGGCAAACTGAAATGAGTTCGATTTTTTTCCTGCCAAACTTATCCAGAACCCAATAAACTCTTATTTCCAACCGCATCAAAGTTTCCGCCTGATTGTAATGCAAACTGTATTTTACCATTTGCAGTGCTTGCCAAGTGTGAACTCTTACAAAAGCTTTTCAATCTCGAATTCATTTGCTTGAAATCAAATAAGCAGACTTGGAGCGAATCGCAGAGACAGAGAATCGAGAAGTGAGATACAGGATACAAGATACAAGATACCAGATACAATTTACGAGCGAAGGGGAAACAAGCACTTCATAATGAAATGAAATCTTATCACATTTCAGCTTGATTGCTGCCAGCCCGCAATATTGTTGCCTTCCTGCTGCTGCTGCTGGATTTTCCCCAGTTCCGGAAAAGTGGAAGAGCGTGAAACAAACTTGCAACTTTGGCAAGAGCTGAAAAGCCAATTCAATTGCATATCCTTTGGCTGTTGCGTCTTCAAGTTACGGATTGTTTTTCGTTTGTACTTTATTTGTTTTTTTTCGGTTTTCTGGGACTTACCTGTCGTGGGATTGTGTCGTCCTGCGGCCGCCAGACTTAGATTGCGTGGCAGGGTCATACAATCACCGCCTCCGCCACCGCTGGATCCTCCTCCTCCGCCGCCAGAGCCACCGCCCATTCCAGGACCCACTGCTGTGCTGGTGAGCAGGACATTGCCGCGACTATCCACCAGGGCTGTTCCACCGCCCGACAAATTCAAGGCGGCCGTGTTGCGCGCATAATTCAAAGTGGCTGCGTGATGGAGTCCCCCCGACTTGGGCAGCGTCATCATGCCGGGATTGTAGCTCACACTGCTGCCGGATACCACCACGGAGGCGCCACCGGAACCGGAACCACCGCTTCCACCTCCTCCGCCTCCTGCCCCGCCCCCTGATCCGGAGCCACTTCGGGCGAAGGTTTGCGTGCCGGTCATTCCCTTGATTTGCATGTGCTCACGCTGCTGATGTTGCTGCTGCTGCTGCTTGGAGCTGGTGCTGTAAGTGACGTTGCCCAGATTGTCTGTGGTCACCTTTGACCCCTCGATGCCACCGTTATTTAGGGCTCCACCGCTGCCGCCACCCACCTGCTGTTGCATACCTGTAGGGTAAGAGTCAATAGCAATTGTTAATAAATTGATTAGCATTGAAATTGACTTTAAAGATAAAATCAGAATTAGGCAATTTTAATATTTTCATTTATTTGATGTTCTTAAATTTCAAATAACATTTTTATATTAAGGATTAAAAATGCATTACATTTTTATTAATGAAACAACAAGAGTGCTAACATATTTAAATTTTATAAATTCCACAGTTTGATTAAAAAGTGTTATAAACGAAAAATTTAATGTTAAATGTTGTTTTTAAATAGCTGTTTTTAAACAATTTTTTTTAAAGGCTTGACTATTTTCTGACTAAAAAATGGTTTTTCTGATTGTAAAATGGCACTAAAAAATTGATCCAGAGATGGATTCTTCCTGAGTTTTTATTTTAAAAGACTTGTGTTGTAAATGTACAAAAAATAAATCTATATTTTCTTTGTTATCCACAAGGGCTGTCCAAATTTGCCAAAGTGAAAAGAATATAAAACTCTATTTACAATTGTGTACAATAATTCTAAAGCTTAGTCCATTTTGAAAAAAAAAACTTAAGTTGTTATTTTTTTAATGATATTTTTATAAAAATGAAATATAAAATTAACCATGGAAAATCTTGTTCTGTTCAATTAAAGTATTATCACATAAACGAAACATTTCCAAGTCTACCTAGATTTCCCACCTACCTGTATTTGAGCAGATGTGCGGTGGCGGTGGCTTGACGTCGTTGGCCGCTGCTGCCGCCGCGGCTGCTGCGGCTTGGAGCAGCATGGCGGCCTGGCCGGCCTGGTCCTGATGGCTCTCCACGTCCACGATGACGTTCGCCGAGCTCTGCGAGTGACCCATGTGGTAGTGGGCGTGCTTGATGGGCTCCGGTGGGTAGGGCACCTGCTGGTGCATATTGCGCTGCTGGTACTGCTTCTGCAGGGTCTTCACCTCCAGCCGCGTCTTGTCGCGCTGATAGTAGACGCCGGCGAAAATCAGCACATTGAGTATCAGCAGGCTGCAGCCAATTGCAATCGTAACACTGAGGGCCGTCGAATAGGCCGCATAGCCGGCTGCCTCGAACCCAGAGGCCAAAGTATCCGACGAGGCGTTGGCCAGAGTGGTGGGTGCAAAGACACCGCCGCCGCCCGAGTAATTTCCTCCAATGGGTATACAGGTCGTATACATGTTGTTCGGCTCAACGGTGGTGACTGCAAGTGGAGAGAAGAGTAAGTGGGTGAGTGGGCTGCATATTAATCTTCCTGGGACTGGCTGTAGTTCATTTTGCTCGCTCGCGGGGGGTCGACAGGTCGTATGAGTAATGCCCGCTGGCCAGGACGAAATTATTTATATGGGGCGTATGGGGCGTATGCTTGATTGGGAGCTGAAGATATTTTCCCTTCGTATCTTGTGACATAATTTAATGTTGAGCTCACACTTCTTAAGGCAATTTGCAGCTGTGCTGTTCAATATTGCCATTTAATTAAATACAACATAATTCGCTTAGCACCTAACAAAGAGCAACTTTTGCCTGCAGCTATTGTGTAATTCTAGTAAATGCCTGTGTTTTAATTGGTATCTACGTAGTCCCAGGTTACCTTTTATGCTATCAGCAAAGTGAGTTACAATGAAAGAGGAATCAAATTATTTTCGTAGCTGCAGAGAACAACAGTCGTCAATTACTTTATTGTGCAAATATTAAAAAAATTGACTAAAAATAATTATTTTCACATTAGCTTTTGTTTGCCCCGTCAAATAATAAATAATAGAATATTAATAATTAAAATGAATAATTATTTTTTAAATTGTACAACAATACAAGACTTTATTTTGTAATCAACCCGCAGAAAAAGCATATTGTTGCTTTGACGTCAATTAGAAGCTTTGTAAACTGTAAAACAATATTTAAAACCATTTTTATTTTAAATGAAAAAATCTAACAAAAGTTATTATATTCAACCCCCACAATTGTTCAATATTTGAGCAAGTAATGTACACGTTTTGCCTTCGGATTAGCCTGTCTTAGGGTCTATTGTGCCACATTTCTTCCCTTTGTCTGAAATGTCCAGAATACAGAATTATTTCCATTTCCTATGAGAGAGCGCTGGAATATTTCGCGCTCCACTTGGCCGCCATTGTATTTGCCAAGGTATTTGAAAGCGACTGAAGGAGTTGGAAGCGCAAATGTCTGTGAAAACAAATGGGTTTCGTCGCTGGCTTTGAAGCCCAGGCCGCTGGCTCCCCTTGAAAATGTATTTGTCATTGTGCTGTAAGTGTCCTGGCATTGTTCTCCAGTCCCCTCAAGTGCTTCCTACACTTGGCATTGTTTTGTATCAAGTGTGGGTAAATGAATGAATGTGCGCACTGCTGGCTGTTTGTCTGCAAAGTTTTGCCTTTCAATTTTCTGCATATCAAACAATTCCGCCAGAGTTCTTCGTCTCACAAGATTAAAGACTTGTGCACGTATTTTGCATAAATATTTCCCAAATAAATCCCCAGTAATAATCGGCGGAGGGGTAGAAATGAACGCAAAAGTGGGTGTCAATAATCGTGTGAAGATTTGCAGCTGCCATTCAACCACTTGCTGCTTTGTCTGAGTGGTTTTTCAATTTGCATTCAAGTGTGGCATTTAATTTACTCAAGATTGTTTGGTCGGAAAAGCATCAGGTGAGCCCGCCCTTTCTCTTTCTTCAAACTTTTCTTCTTTTTGGTGGGCGTGTGCCAGGGAATCCAATTTGGAATTAGCCCCTATCTATACATAATAATTTCTCACCAACTTTGTCCATCAATCATGATGGCAAAGGCGGCCGGCTCTCAGACTCAAAAACTCTCGACCTGTCACTTGAGTTCACTCAGGAAAATGCTTAAGACCCTTTTTCACTCTTTTTGTGTGTGTGTGTTTTTAGGGGGACAACCCTTTTGCTAAATTGCATAACCAGATAAATTGTGATCCCCCCATCAACAGATTCGACCCTGGCCACTAAGCTCTTTATCATTCCGCCCCATTTTGCATTTAATTTTGCAAGTACAAATACTTGCAGCATTCGGAATTTCCCTTCACCATTTCCATCTTATTTTTAATTCCTTTTTATTTTTATTTTTATTCCCCATTTTCATTTCGCTTTTACCAGGGGCCGCATGCGTTCAAGGACCCCAGATAATTATGTTACGAGGACACATGGCCCCAGCTTGAGGCAGACAGATAACCAAAAAGGCTCGGGGAGGGAGGCAAAAGCAATGCTTAATGTGGCTTTAATTAGTGAAATCACAAAAATAAAAGAAGAAAAATAAGAACTTAGGGAGGACGAAGTAGAGGCGACCCCAAGCCATAAAATCAAACCGAAAGCCCAGCTTTTTGAGCCACGAAAGCGAAAAATATTTGAGGCCGAAATGTCCTTGCATAAATTAGATATTAGCCGGGGCAACGGCATCAGCATCAGCTCAGGCTCAGCTTGCCATCCTGCGAAGGACACTCTGGCATTTATTAAGTGAACCATTTCAATTTTCACTGATAGTTTGACATTTCCCAGCTTAATCAGCCCTGCTTCACAGCATCCCGAGAAAAACGAATCGCAGGAATTATGCAAATGATCAGTGGGCGAAATGGCGAAGGATTTTCGCAGTAGGCTTTCGGCTAAGACTGGTTCCACATGTTGCTTTATCTCCATCTCTTTGCCAAATAACTCAGGTGAGCCCTGCCCTGCTCCAGCCTGGTTTTCCTTTCTATTTCCATTTTTCGCTGGAATCCGGGTCAGGCAAAGTAGCACAGAGTTCACTTTTGTGTGTGTCGGAGCGAAGGATGTGGTTTGTTTGTTTTCTCCTTCGTTTTTTTTTTGTTCTGGAAAGCTGGTAAGCAAGGCTTAGACAAGAAGCAGGCAACTTGATGATGGGATAAACAGCATTGAAAACGTTCTCAGCTGGATTGAAAATGAGTTCGGAGAAATAGCCTGGGCTACGAATGTGGAGCTCTTAAAGCAGCCGTAATTATTGCGGTGTATTGCCGTATATACGCACTTAAATCAGACAATGTTCCGATTTGTTAGCGATCAAATCAAAGCCTTTTGTGATTTAAGTATATATTTATAGCATTTAGCAATGTTTTACAAATGAATTATTAAATAAAGTAATTTTTTTTAATCCGATTTCATTACAACACTTTTTTATCAAATCACATTTTGGTTTAAGCCTAACTTATGTTTGCTTTTTTTGTAAAAAATGTGTAACTAATCAAATGTAGCTTTAAATTATATTTAAAAATATCGATTTCATCTTCAATCCGATGTCTAATTATTCACTTAAAATAAACTATGCAGCTAATGAAATATAGGAACAAATTGGATTATTAAAAAAAAGGTAAATGTAACCCCTATTTGAATTCATTGCCATAAAATTGTATGTATTTTAAAAACTCATTTGCAGTTTTTTCTTTAAATAAGTATTCACAATGATTTTTGCACATCCATTTAAAATCCCAACAAATATACTAGAAATTTGAAAACAGCGTCGCCTCCTGCGGCAAAAAGTTAGTTGACGATTCCATTAGAAACGTCAGCCAACAAAAAAAACAATAACCATGGAAAACTGAAATTTCCAAGTACTTCAACACTTTGGCAATCCGACTTAAACTTCTTGTGGAAAAGTTGTTATCCATACGGTTTTGCCTTGGTTATTTTTGTTAGTTTTGCACGTCTTTCGATTTGTATTTTGTTGCGGCTGCTTTGTTTACGGCGGAGAGTCTCGTTTGGCTTGCGGATTTTTTGGCTTTTTGGCTGCATATCTCTGTCGCCCCCGTTCCGGCCAAGTTGTATAACCAATGGCTGAGGTGATGACGCCAGCGATGACAGGGGAAAAGCGGCGGGGAGGGAAATCAAGGGGAAATAGGGGATGCCTGGAGAAAGGCAAGACAAGGCAGCACAGTTGGCAAAGTCAACGCTTAAATGAAAAGCATGTCAAAGTATGTCGAGTCCATATGACACTGTGACTCGGTCGCTGCCTCGCAGCGAGTCTGGGGTTTTGTCGTTGGCTCTCCAATCTCCTGTGATTTTCCCGCATTTCCCCACCCATTTGAACCACCTACCCACCTACCTACCACCTACCGAATTTCCCAGCTAGTGTTGGGTGTTTTTTGTGGCCTGGCTGCGTCGTCGTCGCCTGTCAACCTGACAGCTGTTTGTCGCATTTCAGGCATTTTATCATCTTCTATTTCCACTTTTTGCCCTCTCCAGTTCGCTTTTATCTACCGCTCTTCGGTTCGGTTCAGTTCGGTTCAGTTCCATCTCCATCTGCGTTTTGTTTTTAGTCCTTGTTTTGATGGCCGGATTTAGTTTTGCAGCATTTTCTGGGCCCTGCACTAATTGAAATGAACATTTGTTGTCTGTGGTCCAACACCATCTCGCTCTCTCTCTCTCTCTGTCTCATCAGCACTCTACATTAGCCACCACAAGTCGCCCTTTGACCTCCATCCCTTCGCCAGTTTGTTTGTTTGGGTCACAGATTAGTTGTTTGTCTGCCAAAACCGAAGAGTAGAGATTAAATTTAAACGCAGCTTGTTCCCATCAAGATTTAAAGATGCACAAGGGAAAAACCACGAAATAATCAGTTTTGTTTTTTTCAACATTTTTAAATACTTATAAAATTAACCCCTATTTAATTTATTTTATCAAATATGATTCAAATATAATATGATTTGGGTTTTATATTAGTCAATGAAATAGTTCTTATTTTTAAACTTTTAGTTCTATTTAAAAATTAAATTAATGTAATATTGAATTTATTTTGTATTTCTAGAACCATGAAATATTGCAAAATTTCCGTTAAACATTTAAGATCTGGCTTTCTCAAAGTAGATACCAATTTATTTTTCAGTAAAATGCATTTTATCGTCTCTAAAATCGAACTATTTAATTTGGAATTTCAGTGTGAACAAGCATTATCCATTTAATCTAAAGAATAAAAGCGCTATCTCCAAAACGGGCAAAGTCAACATTTCAATAATTTTTAATTTACCCGACTTTGCCAAGCGAAAGCGTTCTCGACTGCCACGCCAACGCCCACGAGCACGACCACGCCCCTCTGCCCCTTCGCCCCCAGAAGCTAATGCATTTTGCATTGGCCAACTTGGCAAGAAGCGGGATATTAGAAGAGGGTTGGGGCATTTAGTAGCTTGGCTAGGGGAAAGTAGAAAGTTTTGCCTGAAATTGACTGTCTTAGTTTTGACTTTGAGATAAGCCAGCGTCGGTGGAAGTAAGTCGAAGTAGTTCGCTATGATGGTTTTGAAACAAGGCCACGCCCACAAGGCACTGGAACCCCCGCCCCTATAGACCCACAGCCCCACAGCATATAAGCATTTGATGTTTGAGTTGGATTTCCCTCACTCTCATTTCTATTTTTTTTTGCCAGAGAAAAGCAGCTGCAGTTTTGCCCCAGCTGCGGGGACAGTTTATTAAAAATGGCTAAAACATAAAGAAAGCGGGGAAAAAACAAGCAGCAAAGTTTGCTGTTAATTTAAAGTAAGTGTTGAAAAAGTTTCCGCCAACGAGTTTTACATAAACTGGTTTAATGACTTCCCCTCATCTCAAAAGAGAGGAGGATGCGAATGGGGCAAGTGCATTAAAATTATGCGCTATTTACATTTGTGGCATCTTAGACAGAGAAGACCCTCTTTTCATCCGAAAGACCCCTCGTCCTCCTCCTCCTTCTTCTTTTTGCAGCCCCGACGAGAATGTAAACGAGAAATTTATGCCAGAGACAGACAGTCGGGGGGTTCGAGGAAGGGATATAAATGGGAGGGATGTTTGAAAAAAGGTTACACACACTTAATGCTTATAGAGATTACAGTTGAGTGCATTTCCAAAAGTCAGCACTCGACACAATATAAATTCAAAAGCCAAACCATAGTATCCCGGGGCCGGACGCAATTTCAATAACCAGAGAGTCCCAGCTGGAGGTCCAAGTTCGGGGCTGGGTCAAATGGAAATGTCATGCCAGGGACAGCAAAGGGGTTGAGATGATGGGGCCCCTCCCAACCCCTAGACAAAAATGCCAACTTTGCAATTTAACTTGCTGCGAGACCACAAAGTGAAGTAAACACTGACTAGGCCGAGGCCAACGTCAAGAGTAAACAGAAATCTTTGCTGCCGAAAGTGTTGATTTTCAACTCACTCTCCAACAAACTAACCTTTCGTTTCGTTTTGAAAAAAAGTGGAAGCAGAGGAGCCAAATAAATAGAACGGGTTCTCTCCTTTGAATTTCGTTTTATTTGACTGGGACCCCACATGGCTATGTGGAATATATATTTCATTTGCCGTCGAGTTATTAAACAAATGCGCACATGTGGCCGCATCTTAAATATTTGACTTTGGATCTCGAATGGGTAGATCATCCATGCGGCGTATGAGTTATATTGGTAAAACAAACTAAATGCCCTCGGTAAAAATAATTGAGGTCAGTTGAGATGTGATGTGCATGTTAAAGTGGGGATTGACTCATAAACTTTGTAAATAGTTATCCTTAATTTAATCAAAATTTACAAGACGAATATTAGGAACAGTCCACGTAGTGACGAATCGCACCGGTAGCATGCTCGAGAATAGTCCGATTGAAACAATTGATACACCGATGGAAAGGTATTATTACTCTCTTCAAATTTTTATGCTAAAACATTTTAGAACTTTATTGGTTTAGCCATAATGTATTTGTTTAGATATCAGAACTTTTGTTTGTTGAAGGTGCGATCGTTACTAGTTTTATACATCATTAAGATGTGTTTTTGTTTGATAAATAATATAAAAAAGTTTAAGGAGTAACCTAATATCACCCTAAAATCAAAACGAGAGAGTAACAAACCGTTGAAGCATAAATCGCAAGACGTTTTCACCCTTATTCCAATTTGTCAGACTTACGGCGAATCTGCAATTAAATAAGCCAGGCCCAAAGGCCAGTCAAGTGTCCTTTTGGCCTGGCCTTTGTCAAGCGTATTAAACGACAACTGCAGACGGTGCCAAAAGGGCCAAAAGGGACGACAAACCGAAACCGAAATACAATCTACAAAGGCAATAGGCGTTATTCCTTTGGGCTCGGTTTGCCCCGGCTTATTTGTTGTTTTTAGGTATTTAAGTGACATTGACAAGCCGCAGCGAGCGTATGAAATCGTGTGTCTCCTCCTCGTCTGTCTCTCTGTCTGTGTTTGCTTTTCGGATGGGGCTGGGTCAAAGTCAAAGGCTACTTACCGCCCAATATGCCGTTCAAATAGGCCGAGGCGTTCAGTCCCCGCCCCTTCTTCATCATCAATTGCTCATCGACGAGAAGGAGCCGCGATGACGACGACGATGAGGATGAGGAGCCGCCGGTTGATCCGCCTGCTGACGATATGCCAAACGGATCCGGTTTAACGGGTCCCTCGTACAGGTCCATATCGTCGTGATTGCGGAACAGATTGTGCCGGGCTATCACATCCTCCATCCCGGCGCGATGGAGCTCCGGTATCAGGCGCAGCCAAATCGAGAGTTGATGGGCCCGAAAGTGATTCTTAATGCGCGGCTTCATTCCTGGAATTTAAAGAGTATGCGAATGTGAATGTGAGTTAGGTGCTTCCGGAAAAACAAAAAGGGGGTCGGAGTGTAAACATCTTCATTTTCATTTCCATGTGACAGATACCAAAACACACACTCATCCGCACACGAAACATGCATGCAAATAGCTCTAATGCTAAACTATTCCATTTGGCCGTTGCCTCTGCTTTTGGGCCACTTTCGAGTCATTTGCATGCCAAAAAGGTGAGCGACAGACACTTGGCTCAATTGAGGCCAGACCTCCTTCTCGGCTCTGGGTTTTCAGAACTTCACCCTCACTTCCCAGACCTGATGTCTTGTTTACTTTGGCGGGGTGAAAGCGACATAACTGTTTAATTTTTGATGCCCCCAGCTATTCCTACTAAGAGCCTGCCTTATGCACTACAAGGAAATTCTTGGAAGGCCAAGAATATATTTTTATGTGTGCGAAAATAATAAATCGATTTTCGATATGTAAATTTTATTCAGAAAAAATTCATATAAATAATAAACCTCATTTAAGTTGAAAATAATTTTTTTTTAATATTTTAAGAACCTTTTTTAATACCTTTTGAAACTAATTTGATTCTAAGTTATTAATTTTGCTAAATAATCCTAAATCATTATTTTATTTAAATTTTTATCTAAGTGTAGCCAAATATTGCCGACTTCTTTTGCTAAGCCGAGCTACAAAAAAGTCTGGTAGCCTACTTCCTTCGAGGGTAAACAGGCGAAAGTATAGTAGAGAATACTCCCTCATATCTGCACGTATTTATAAAAATATCTGAAAAGTACCAAGAATGATTCTCAAATATTCAGAAAGTTTTCATACACCTTTGAACTCTTAGTCCTCAGCCAATGCCCCACCATTCATAAGAAAATGTGATTGCCGGGCGAAGGACCTATCCACCTGCAATCGTCAATCTTCAATCGCAAGTGCAAATCCGAAATCCAAATAAAGTATTGCATGCATAATTTACGCAACAGAACTTTCATACAAGCCAGCTTTTACATAAGATATGCTTATAGTTCGATCTATATATATTTTTTTATATATATGATATATTTGGCGCATATGTGTGACAGCTGCCTTTGTGTGCCGGAGATCCTTTTGTGCCAGCTCCTCCCCAACAAACATTATTTGATTTCGATTTCAGTTTCCTGGCGTATCAAATGAAAACTGTGTCCGCCACTCCACACGGGCGGAATCCTTTCAACTTGCTTATGCAAAGTGCAGGCGCTGAAGGGTGGAGTACAGGGTATACTGTATACTGGGTATAGAATGTCAGCTGTCGCTGTGTGTCGTTTCAATTAAAATCAGGGGGAAAAAAGAAGAATATAGAGAAGGAGAGCCTTTTACATGCACGCAGACATATCTTTTGATACGTATCGTCCTTCAGTGCTTACATGTGCGTAAAGTGCGTGTCGGCAGGCTTCAGTCACCCTCCTTCCTTTTGTACCTCTTAGCTCACTAAAAATATAAAAAAGCCATTCTTGTGTGCACAATGTAAGGCAAATCCATTGCCATAACCTGTGCGTAATTTTCATAAAGCGTTAAGCGCGCATATCTGTCGCTATCTTCGCCGAGTTGTGTGTCAAGTGGGTATATTGATTCCATGGAATAGGAAAAAAGACATTAATCCATTTTTTATCTTGATAAATTTATTGAAAAAGTTGTCTAAATCATCAGGAGAACGACGGTAACAGGATTATTCATCATTTGATCATTAATAGAGCTTGAAAATAAATATTCCATATTTTCTTGAGAACTTTAATTTTTGAAGGTTTTTTTCCTTAAATGTAATATTAATTTATTCGAATAATTATTAAATTCTACAGGTATTCCAGGGCATTCAAAAATCGCCACAATATGTAAATAATATTACATCGACTTTCACCTTGTACCATCTACCTGTCGCCTTCGCGTACAAAAGGTGTGAAAAATTTGAAATTAATAACATTTTCGTACATTTGACATGAAGCAACGGTGCCATTTTAACGCACACATAAAGCTTTATGCGCTCGCCACCCCTCAGGATCCCCCCTGTGGAACCCCCGAGAGCTCATCACCTTTCACCTTCTCCCCGCTTTTCTCACTTCAGGTAATGTTTCGACAATCTCTGGGCGTTTTGATTGCCCTTCATCTACCTGGTGGTTCTGCTGTTGCCGCTGCTGCTGCTGCTTCAATATACCGACAGTCGCCGCTGTGATGCTTTCTTTTTTTTCACTCACATTTCGTTGAAGTACTTGTGTGTTAACTTCCTCGTTTTCCAACCTCCCCCCCACCGAAACCGCCCCTCCAATTTGTTGTTGTTAGCAGGCAAAGCATGTTCAGGCACTGCCTTCTTTAAAATTCAAATTAAATTTGATTCTCCCGTCTTTTTTTTTTGTTTAGCTGGCTGTGTGTGCTTAGGTTATTCTCCTTTCCCTTGCTTTCTTTTTTTTTTTGCAAATTTGTAGCTTTTATTTGGCATGAATTCCATGAATTCATTTTTACTGCATGCCAAAGTAGCCATACAACATTTTGCCAACGTTTTGGGGTGAGCGAATTATAAGAAATGGTTTTGTAGCCAAAGCTACTTGCATATTAACAAGCAACTCAAATTCCATTTAAAAATATCGCCTTATTGAAAAGAAAAACGAGCAAGTGAACTTTCTCAGAGGTATTAAACTTTTAAATAGTTTCTCCGTTTGCATTGGGAAAACAAGAAACAAACAACCATTTCGTTAGAAGCTTACGAAAAGATTTCTGTTTGAGCCATTCACACAAAAATAAGGAAAATGCACACGAAGTGGGAGAAAGTTTCTTCTGACTCACCTATTTCCAAATACTTTTGGTGCAGCGGATCATAATTTTCCCAGGTGATGCTGCGGAAGCGGTTGCGCTCCTTTGAAACCGGCAGCGACGAGTCCTGGCGATGATGTTCGTTAGGATTGCTGGAAAACAGAAAGGAAGTGTTGAGAATACACTGTTAAAAAATTAATAAATATAATAGGTACAAAAAAGCGAACCAATATTTTTTAAAAATTAATAGTATATGATTTTCTTATTTCTTTTCATTTTAAACTATTTAATTTTTTCCCAACTAAAAGTTCATCATTCCATAATTATTTTTCCACGGTTCTCATATTGTTGGAGATTTTTTCTGACACTGTTTCCCCCAGTGCACACTGGGCCAGAAAGTTAATTTTTTGGCCAAAAATCTGTAATTTCTTTCCTAGGACAGTTAGAAGGATGCAGTTTTTTGCGTTTTTTTCTTAAAAGATTGAACTTTCCAACGAACTAAAAGTAAAATTTCTTGGAATTTTATATAATATAGATAATCGAGACCAAAGTCGGAAAATTTTACGTACTTTTCGGTTTTTTATTTTTAAAAAAATAACTAGAAGACGCACTTCTTCAATTTTCGAAAACAATAAAGTATGAGATAAAACAAACTAAAAAAAATTAACATCACTAAAAAATATTATGTCATTTAAGATTTATGAACCGTTAAAAAGTGCAACTTTCGGAGGCTCCCACATCAACGTTTATCAAACAATCGATTTAAAAAAGATTTCTATTTTTTTGTTCTTGTAACCTTTTAAGTTTTATATAATCAAATTATGTAAAAAAAATTGTTTAAAAATATTGTTTTTTGATTTGTTTAATGTTAATTTGACATATTCTGAAGTCATCACAAAAGTATGCTACATTTTTATTTGCATAGTCCTGATTAAATAGATAGATATAGGTTTGGAAAATACCATAATCGATTAGTGTACGTAAAAAATAGATTTTAGATGTTAGTCACACTAAAATCAAATTTTTGAGCGCAAAATGTTCACCAAAACCTGAAGAAATAAAGTATGGCATACTCTTGGGCTCTCTTAGATAAGCTCTTCAAAATAACTCGACTTCGAGTTAAGCCTTCAATTAAAACTTAAATTACCGAAAACTAAGGCAAAACCGCATCGAGTCGGTGGGCTACGCTTTTAGTAAATTGATCAACGAATTTTTTTTTGAAGGAATGAACTAATTTGGGGATGGCACTCGAAGGCACTCGAAAAGCAAAGTACTCATTTGCTGAAAAAAAGCGTAAAAATTAACAATTACATTTATTTTAGCAAACAAGTAAGACATACGAGCTATATTATATTTTTTACTTGTTGAAAATAATCCCTTCTGCAAGTTTCGGAAAGAAGTCGAACAGCAACATCAGCATCTTTGACTTCTAAATTTTTTTTCATTTCCATCAATATTTTATGAATTTTTCACTTTGAAAATATGGTAAAAGAAAACTACTTGCCCGAATTCTTTGAAACTTTGGCATAAATTAGTTTAATGTATTATAAAAAGGATCCCAAACTCAATTTGGTCATTTTCTTAAAAAAGAAAAACGTATTTTTGGCCAAAAATCTGATCGGCTGGCCCAGTGTGCAGTGCATAAGTTAGTAAGACGTTTAAGTGGGGCTTAAAAGTGCCGAACGGACAGCAGGTGCTATAAGACCGCTCAGAGACACTTTGGGCGCCCGAAAGCTCCCCGTCAACTTACCCGGTGCGTGCAAAGTTGGTCCAGAAAATCATCACCGCTTCCGAAAGAGCCGTCTCCGATTTGGTGTAGTTCTGCGGAAAGTGGCTGAAGCCATCGACCAGCGGGGCACCGAAAATGTAGGGCAAATCCTCGCCGTGCACGGTGCCCATCCTCTGGGGATAGTCGCCGTCCTTCGTCTGGTAATCGAACACATAGAAGTAGCACCGACCGGAGGGCTGGGTGGAGCCGCCCGCCGATGTTGAGGCAGCTGCATTCGCCCCCGAGGAGCCAGCGGGCGAGGATGAGCTCACGGGGGGCGGGGAATTGGCGGCCAGGATATCGCCGGCTCGGACAATCGGAGCCACAAACTGGGCATCCGACAGGGCGGCCACTGCCGTGTCCCGGGTATTGATCGGATGCTGCGAGGTGCGATCCCAATCCGTGTACTCGTTGACGATCTGGAGGGCAGAGGGATTTCCAATTTAGATTTGGTTCACAAATAAAGTTAGTGCACTCAAAAAATAAAGATTTAATTTTACATTTCAGAACAGTTTCCCAAAATATAAAAAATCTCATTTTTTGGAAAAAGACTTAGTGTAAATTAAACAAAATAAGGTATTTCTATATCTTTATTGGGAAATATTTGGTAATCGTAGGAAACCTATCCTCCAATATACACTTTACAAATTGTAACAACAAAGTTTATAAAATTTTCTTAGTAAATTATGAAATAATATGATGCGTGGTCAAAATGGTCTAATACTTAAACTATATATCATTTTAGTTTTTTAATAGGTATTAATTAAAATTAAATATTGAAACTCTATTATTATGTAAAGTTAGTGACTTTTTTATTTTTAAGTCCTTCAAAATCTTGTGCTAGGGCTTAAATACTAAAGCTTCAGGGTATTTTTAAATTGATTCTAGGAATTTTCTGTTCTTTTTTTCAAAATGTGACAACATTTTGAATTCAACAGCGATTTTTCTGGCTTTCCTTTTGTGGAGTGTAAAAGAGCGAGGGGAATTTTAGATTTGCATTGGCTGCATGTGTGCCAAGTCAAATCCTGGCTGGATTACAAGCGGATTGCAACTGTTTGCTGTCCTTGTTTGCGGTGGCCATTCGCCGCTCGTCGTTCGCCACCGCAAAAGGGGCAGAAGGAGAAGTTGTTACCACCACACTATGATTATTTCTACCCAGCATGTGTGCGAAAAATAAACGACCGCAAAATGCATCTGTAAAATCGATGTCATGCATAATTTAGGAACCCTATCATAAAGAAGGAAACAAAAGAAAAAATTCAAACAAGTAAAAAAAAAAAATGGAACAGAAACCGATTCTAACAATTGTGTGTGGAATACATTTACATGGTTATTCGACAACCCATTCCCGGGCATTTATTTTTGGTATAGCATTGATTTTTTGGTTTCCGAAAAGTTTATTCTATCCGTTTTGAGTTTTTTACTTTTTAAGTTATTAAAAGCACATATTTGATTAGTCATGATTAGCTTGCGGTTTCGATTGGAGGCTCTCAACCGCGAGTGCCAGTCAGGCCTGAACTGTGACCCATATAAATTGAGCTTTACGACGAAGTATAAAGTGGAAAGAGAGGGGATTGCGCTGCAGTTATACAAAAGTATAATGAAGTAAAATAAATACGGACTTAAGCGCTATAATCGTGATATATGCCCCGGCAATTTACGACTTCTTGATAAATGAGTATATGTGAATATATATATATTTTCATATATCTGTGCACCCCATTCACGATGCGTGTGTGTTAATGCGGCGAATGGTGACCAAGGATTCAGATACAGCTGTGTACCAGCTACGGATACAGATACAGCTGCGGATTCAGATTCTGATTCAGATTCAGCTCCAGTTTCAGTTTCAGACGTCGACTGGTGACGGTTGTCGTTGGATGCTTTCTCTGCTTTCTCCGCTGCTGCTGCTGTTTGCTGTGATTTGGGTTAAGTGCTGCTTGTGCGCTTTTAAGTAGGTACATGTGTGTCTGTACATACATTCCGTACGTACGTACTACGTATACGACTACGTCTACGTGCATGTGTGGGTGTGTGCCTATGTCCTTGCACACATTTGCCAAATAAAGCGTGTTAATGTTTTGGCAGCAATGGCGTGTTAACTGCCTTCCATTTCGCTCGCTTGCACAAAACAAAAATAAAAACAAAACAAAGCCAAAAAAAAAAACAAGCCAGCAAGGGAGCATAAAATAAATATATACAACAGTCAAATGTAAAAAAATGTTTAAAAGTTGCAAATGCCCTGAAACATGAGACACACATTTACACACTGTACGTGTGCGTGTGTTTCTGTTTCGAGTGGCGAATGTTACCCATACGCAACGTGAAATTATAATTACACTCGCACACACTTAAACAGAGTACCAACATTTTAATTGACTTTTTCAGTTGCAGTCGTTGTTGCTGTTTGAGCTTTGGATCCAAAAGTGTTTGCTTTCAGCCAATTACCCTAGAGAAAATATGAACTTATATACCACCACCGAAAGGGGGTTTAATCATTTTAATGGATTAGAATTGAAGGATACTCAAAGAGGGCTTAATAAAGTCAGGTCAAAGCAGCATTTGATGTTAGACCTTAGAACAAAAATCTAAAAACTTTACTTTTTTAGTATTTACTACATTTGTCTTCACAAATAAGTAAAACCTAAGTTTCTAACAAAAGGAGAATTACATAAAAGCTAAAGCAGCTTTACATTTTTTTTATTATTTTATATGATTTTATTACAAAGTGTTGATTTAGAACATTTATGTAAAGTGTAAAAAAGTCAGTGGGTCCAAATTTGCATAAGCATCCATAAGTCTAGTCAATGCCCAATTTGCATACAAAATTCAAACCAAAAAAGAAATGGCAAGAAAAATAGATGATTCACTGTGGCGAAACATATTTCTTTCATCCGCCAACTGTCTATAAAGTTTTTAAGCAAAAACTTTTCAAGTCAAAAAGTAAACTCCAAGATAAGGGCAATAATTAAGCTTAAACTGATGGCAGACTGGTAGACCGAAGACCGAAGTCATTAGGAGGGGAGAAGATAAATCAGATGGTCAGGATTTATGGCTCCAATCGCAGACATCCCTTTCCCGCACTAAAAATAAGTAAATTCTGAAAAAATAAGACCACTCACCGTATAGAATATCTCGTTGAGGTGATAATTGTAGGCATTGCGGACGTAGGTGCGGATAATTTTATCGCGTCTGTCGCCCTCGAAACCGTTTTGTATATCGTGGGCACTGAAGCGCCAAATCGATTCGCCCGTAACGACGCCAAAGAGGACGTCATAGTGACCGCCCATGCTGGCCGTTCCCGCACCGCCGCCTCCAAAATATCCGCCGCCGCCGAACGAAGATCCGGAGCCACCGGCTGCGCCCCCTGGACCTCCACCACCTCCAGATCCGCCGGACGATTGGAAGCCGGAGTCCGCTGACGAACGCCTCGAGTTGCGCGCCATTAAATCATCGATATCGAGATTGGAATGTCCGGGTCGTATGACAACGCCATCAACCTAAATTGAAATCGAGGAGGGAAAAGGAATCGCAAGTAAATGACAGGAGTAGTGGTCCAAGCATAAGGACAGCGAGGAGCAGGGGAGTAAGTAAGTAATAAAGTCCATTGAAGCGAGGACCGAACAAAAGGAGCAAGACCCGCAAAAAAGCGAAATCAATGGCTTTAAATGAGTGTCCTGCGATGACTAAATCTTTTCTATGATGCCATTGAATTTTATCAAGAAGTACAGATTTCAGCTTGGCAGACAAACAAAAAATGATTAAAAGAATGTCTTAAATTCGGTAGATATTTTAAAAATTTACTCCGAAAAAAGACAGTTATAAATGATTTTTCGAAATAAATTACTTTAAAGGATGTGAAATACATTTTGATTAATTTTCTTTTTAAAAGACAATGGTTTTAATAACAAACATTTTAATAATGACTGATTTTACTGATTTACTTTATTTAATTTTTAGCTCTACTGATTTAAATAGAGTTCTACTTATTTTTATAACTCACCGATGGCCCGAAGGATGTTAGAAAGTTGGGAGCCTGAATGTCGGCGGTGTAGAGGTCCTCCAGCGGCACATCCCTCAGACAGTCGACAATCTGCTCGTGATGCCGGTTGATGTCCTCGGGAATGGTGCAGTTGACCTCCCTGGCCAGCTTGATGGCGAACAGCACGGGATCTTCGACCAGGGCCCAGGATGAATAGGCAGAGCCGGACATGAGAATGGCCCGATGGAAGAGACCCCTCACCATTGTGGGCGAGGTCATCAGGTAATTGATGCAGGCCGCTCCCGTTCCGTGACCCGCCAAGGTCACCGAGTTGGGATCCCCGCCAAACTTTTGGATATTCTGCTGGATCCAATGGAGAGCGGCCATCTGATCCATCAGCCCGTAGTTGGCCACCCTGGCATGGGCATGCGGATTGGGATTGGCATTGAGGAAACCTGTAGGGTAATGAAAAATATTAGAGATATATTTTAAAAATTCGATTTTCAGATTAATTTTTTACAAATATATCTCAAGAAATAGTTTAATATATTTAAATATTTAATATTACCCAATATTCCCAACCGGTAGTTGAGTGTCACCACTACCACTTCTCCATAGCTGGCCAGGACACTGCCGTCGTAAGGATTTCCGCTGCTCCACTCGAAGGACTCGCCGTGTATGAACACAATCACCGGCAATTTCTTCTCATTGGCTCCGGCTGACAAAACACAAAAAAGGAGTGAACAAAACGGTGAGTGTTAGTATGTATATCAGCCGGTAAAATCATGATACAAATATTTTAGTTGTATTCTTTTCTGTATTTCAAACTTGTGATATCGCGTTTTTCCCTTTCAACACACCGCCAAGTGCCCGAGAGCGCTCATGACCCATTAAACGTTTCCGTTTGCGTGCAAAGCGGATTTTGCCAGCACTTCGGCGGAGGAATCGCTTCAGATTAGCGATTCCGATTCCCCCGGATCCGGCTTGCCCCTTGGATTGTGAGCTTAGTGGGGTGGCACTTGCGATAAGATTTGCGCAGCGGTTACGTGAGCTCTCGGTTTTCTTTTGCGTAGAAATTATTGGCATTACGTGGCGTACGATTAATCTTAATTAATTGAATTTAAATGAGATTTATGTGCAGCTTTTTTAGCTTTTTGTGTGCTTAAATTGTGGTTGTGGAATTCGAGAGCAAGGTCTTAAAGTTTATTTTGGGCGAAACTTACCATTGACCGGCGAGAAGACATTCAGGTAGAGGCAGTCCTCGGATTGGTTTTCCAGAAAGGGCAGCAGTCGCTTTAAGTACTCCAAGCGACCCTTGGGCATCTTCTCCAGTGCCGCCGTCTCGTTTTGGATATTGGGCAGCCGCTGCGGACACACGGGACTGTACTTATCCGATATCCGAATGCCGTCCCAAGGCGCCGGTGCTCTCGTGGGACTAAACCTACGGAAATGAAAACAGGGAACTTAACTTTTAGATCATAAATTAAACATATTTAATTCAATATTAAATTTAAACAAAAATAGATGAATATTTAGGTACTATTAAATGTAAAACGAATACAAAAAAATGTCGGTATTTACGTTTATTTATATTTTTACGACCAACTAAAAAATCCCTCAGTGTAACAAAATCTAAACAGTTTTTCATTAGTTTGGGAGTAAAGCCTACTAATTAGTTTGACTTTATGGAGTTAAAGCGGTCTTTGAATTTGGTTGAAAAAGATATAATTTAAAACCCATATGACAAATCCAAATATAAATAATTACATAAAAATTAAATCAATATATTTAAAAAGAAAGTAATATGTTTAAATGATAAATTAAAACATTTTATAAACCATTCCTACATACCGATTTTGTTTGGTGGGTGGCGTTGCATATGGCACACCTAGGAAGACCTCAACCGATCGTAGGAAGCGAAAGCTGTCTAGCGGCAGGATGAGTCCGTGCAGTCGGCCATAGCGGGTCTGGACGATGCGGTGGCCCAGGCGGGCGCCCTTGTAGATGTCCGCCGTGGAGGCCTCCGCACAGTCCATCCAGCCAACAAGGACTGTTGGCAGCAGCAGGAGCCGCAGCAACAGCAGCAGCTGACTTTCACCCATGTCGCAACACAGTGGAGCTTCGAGTTGTGCGATCTGACCGAGCTATCGGTCCTCAAACTGTCTTCACCTATTTCGATGTGGCTCTCGATTGACGTGATTTCTTTCTGGTCATTTAAACTATCTGTGCTGATGGGCTGGGATGACGAGACTAGCGGCCGACTGACTGGATTTCATCTTGATCTGGAAAATCGGGAATTATAGGAAGGTAAAATATTAATATCACGATCTTTAAAGTAATACAAAGTATAAAACTAAGTTAAGCCAAAGTTACATTTAAAATATTAATAATATTTTAGTTCTTAAGGAAATTTAGTATATTGCTGTTGCAACACTTGTTGATCTATAATAAAAATAATTTAGTTAGTAATTGTCATTAAAAAATCAAATAGGAAATAAATCCTAGTTATTCCTAATTAAATAAATCTCTAAAATAGTCTTAAATCAACCTCAAAATAAAAGAATTAAATAAGCTTATATTATTTATTTATAATTAAATACAAAAGAGATGGAAAATAGAGCACCATGTTGGTTATTAAAAAAAACTCTTTGTTTGGGTATTAAATTCAGATCCCAACTGTTGACTGATAACTAATTCAATCAGCTTTTTTCTACCAATTACCGTGCGAACTAATTGGTCGTTTATTATCATGAATATGAAATGCAAACATAATACGTTTATTTTCCATATTAAACCTGCTGCTGCATAAAAGTGTGGAGAAAGTGTTAAATTTGAGTGCTGTTTTATTTTTATCCGAACCGAGTTGGTCGGCAACATGAATAAACAAGGTCACCGGCGCATTTTTAAAAACACCCATCCCCTGAAAACTGAATGTGCATCTGGTACCCTCGAAATGTATCTGTATCCATGCATTTATGTATCTGTGTGGTGTATGCTTGGCTCAAGGTTACTTTACACATCCTTAACTGTGCCAGCGCAATTTGTGTGCATTTTTTAAGCTTTTGCATTGCATTTGTTTTCGCTTTTTGGCATTACTCTGCTTATTTGTGTGCTGATATTTCGTTGTTTCTGCGCTGACAATTCAAGTACGCACAGCGAGTGGTGGCTGCAAAAGTAGCTCATTTGGATATGTATAAAATATATATATCTTTTCATATGCACACTAGAATATACATATGTGAAATGTGAGCTGTTCCTAAGAGCTAACAGTTGGCAAAACAATGTGATGAATAGCAAAGTAAACTAGCTGCGGTGGGAATTTGTTTGAAAATGTTTAGGTTGGTATGCAAACGTATTAAATTTATTAAACACATAACGATCAACTAGTGTTATACTTGTAGCGCAAAAAACAAGAGAATTATTAAATAAATTTATATTTTATTATTATCAGTGACCTTAAATAACAGTTATTTAAGACTTTTATTTTAAAAGGACCACTGGGATTTTTAGGTATTTTAATCAATAATTTGGCTGATTTTTACGCACTCTAAAAAAATGGAAAAAATAGTTTATTTGAGTATTATTTATTACAAATAAAACAAAACATTACAGTAGTCATTTTAAAATAAAAGTACAAAATAACTGTTAATTACGGTCCCTGATCATTATAACTTAGCAAAATACAACAAACTCTATCGGAACATATTTTTTCAAAAGTAAATAACAAATAGGGAAACCCCGAGAGAAAATGGGGATAATGGTGAACTTTTTAAATGCCCTGCGAAAGGTGCGACTTAAATTGTCCATGGAAAACACCAACCAGGTGGCAAAAAGCCTGGCAGCTTCTAAATTTAATGATGAGCAGGCAGCAACCCCACAAAAGACACCAGATGGATCCGAAATGCTCTGGCAGAATATCAAGAGGGTGCTGCTCATTTGTGGCGGCCAGAAGAAACCCGGCGGCGTTGAGGATGAGAAGCGCATGAAGGACTCGTGCCGTTTGGTCGATGTCCTGGAGGCCCAGCGGTTCGTTAGCCAGGTATTCGCCGCCATGCAGGTGCCCAAACAGGCGGCCAGTGAAATGGCCGATGCCCTGATAGCCGCCGACTACATAGGCCAACGTTCGATGGGCATCCATCGATTGCCGGCGATTGCAGCGGACCTTCTGAACTGCACCGTTTCGGGTGATGCCACGCCGGGAATTGTGGCCGAAAAGAAGGCCATCGCCCTGGTGGATGGCCACAATGCTCCTGGACCCGTGGTGGCCAACTTTTGTATGGATCTGGCCCTGCAAAAGGCCAGGGAGGTTGGAATCGGTTGGGTTTCGGCTCGCAGCTCAAACTGCATTGGCTTCGCCTCTTGGTACGCGTGTCAAGCGCTGGAACAGCGAATGATTGGACTCTGCATGACCAACGGAGCTCCCACTTTGGTGCCCGCCGGAGGAATCGAACCCATACTGGGTGAGAATCCGATTGCCTGCGCCGCCTCCGGGGTGCATGAACAATTTCTGGCTGATTTCGGTATGGCTGCCTGTTCGGTGGAGGAACTGGAGCTATCCTATTGCAATGGCTGGTCAAAGGAAGTGCCCAAATTAGTGGCTTTGGATAGGAACGGCAGGGAGACCACCTCCACGGAAGAGGCGTTGAGGGCCCAACGCATCCGAGCCTTTCAGCCCGAGCACAAGGGCTTCGGCATGGCTGCCATGGTTGACATTTTGTGCGGTGTGATGACAGGTGCTCGATATGCAAATCAGATCCAGCGACGAGGCGTCTATAGTACGGAAAATGCCCCGGCGGATCTGGGCCAAGTTTATGTGGCCATCGATCCGATGCGCTTTTGTCCTTCCTTCGAGGACCGACTGGGCGATTTCCACCGGCTGCTGAGACAAGCAATGCCGCGCAAGGTGGGCAAACCAGCGATGGTGCCGGGCGACAAGGAGATGGAGCACATGAAAATGGTCGACGAACAGGGCGGACTCACAATGTCACCCTGCACTCTGTGCGTTCTCGAAGAACTGGCCACAAAGTTCGGCATCGTCCCCCTAAAGATGAAGGGCAATAAACCAAGTGAGGAACTGCAAATGGCCTAAGCAACTCTATCATAACTTGATTTTTGTTTGATTTAAATAGTCAAATAGCGAAGACAACATTTTTAATTTAATTAAAATATTACACAGTCTTAAATAAAATTTTAAAACAAGGAAAATATATGATGGAAACCAGAAGTGAGATAGCACAGGATAAAACATATTTTACTCAAGATATTTTATCTTGTGCTGTCTCACAATCCTTCTGGTTTAATGTGCAAATATGCTGTTTATATTTGTTTGATTTAAACAAAAGCAGACGATGCGCAAATATAAGTAAACATCAATTACTGTTTTATAGGAAAGGCTTGCAAAAATAAATATTGAAGTTGAAAAAACATTTAAAAAGTGAATATAAAAACCAGCTGTACCTAATCAATTAAAATGCACAAAAGCCCATAATTTAATTAGACGAATGTAATGGGAATTTTAATTAAATATCCTTTGTGTTCATTTTAAAAAGCAATATAAGTACACCCAGAAAAAAAAGACCGAAAAAATCTAAGACCGAATTTCTTACATTACTACCGTTTTGTTCTTTTATTTTTTTAAGACCATATTCTTATATTGATACCAAAGGGTATTGATTTAAGACCAGCAAACCAGTAAATTTAGATTTAAGTTGAACTTATGCACGCGCGCGAAACACGGTGCGATGGCCCAGTTGGTAAGGCGTCTGCCTCTGATGCGAGAGGACCCCGGTTCAAAAACCGAATAAGTCAAAGTAAGTAAAAAGTTTTTCAAATGTATTTCAATTAACATTTCCTTTATAACTTTAAGAACAAAAATGTATTAAAAAAGTTAAAATGTTAATTTACTAATTACAAAAAAAAAAAAAATAAGTTGTGTTGTGAGCGGGAATTGAACCTCGTACCCCCAAACACAAAATAATACCAGAATCCAGCACCTTGGCCCCTGGGCCATGGCCTTATTATTTTCTTCCATGGCAGAATGCTTACAGGAGCATTCAAAGAGATTTATTTTTTTACTAAAAATAAATATAAATTTAAGTACGTTTCGTTCTTAAAGTAAGAACAGCGGTCTTAAAAATCCGTTCTTAAAATAATACCATATTTTCTTATAATGATACCAAACGGTATAAAGCTATTTTTGAGACTCAAACAGACACGTTTTCAGACACAATCAGAACAATTTTTTCCCTGAGTGTAGGTATGGGCAATTTAAACCGATTTAGCAATTTCACTAAATTTGTTTTAAATTTGTAAACCATTTTAAAAATAAAATAACAATGTTTTGGCATTGGTTCGCAATGCTTTAAAACAAATTTAAATTAAAGTTCAGCCTGACAGCTCTCTTGGGTGCCTTGAAATGAAGCCAAAGTTCATGGAAATAAATTTAGCAAAGTTCGTTCGGCAATTGTTCACCTCTGGAAAGGAAAGGGGAGCATTTTCAAGTGGATTCCTTGCCCGTCGACTAATTATGGAGCGTTAAAATATTCAAAAGTTCAAAACAAGCCCGTCTTTCTTCGTCTGGCGGCGTTCATTTGCACACGGCAATAAAAAGGGGAAAAAATCTGCATAATTATTTGCGCTAATTTATGCACTCCCCGGAAACCGCACCTCGTTCTTAGAGACGCGAAAAGTGGGAGCCCAACAGCTGGGCCAACTAAAAATAGCAACTCAGGTATTTTTTTTGGTTTTTTTTCGGGGTAATTGTGTGCGTGTCTGTCATAGCCAAGTACCCAAATCGATAAAGGAAGCCGTCGCAGAAGAAATCATCCCAATCATTGGCAGAATGATTAATATGATTTCCTAGCTCATCAGAGTCTGGCCGCGGGGGCGTATGAGTAATAAGCTGAAACTTTTTATGACAGCAGCTAGGTGGCGGGGTAAATTATGGCCACCACCACATCTTACGATGTGCGTTGTCGTCGCCAGTCGATGGCCCTATTCTTATTCCCAGTATTATGGTATCCTGGGTACGCAACACCTGCGTCTTATTGAGGAGGTCCTGCGGCTGCTTTTACCCAGCGCACGTGACTGCGGCGTCCTTGTTGCGACTCGGATTTAGATTCATGACATTGTAATCGCTTATTACCGCTGCCAATCGCTAGTGAAAGTGGAGAGACCACAGAGCTGGGGATTTCTAAATATATATATTGGGACGCCTGGCGTCTCGGTTTTCACTTTGAACTCATTTATCTTCATTGAATTGATTTTATTGACGCTGGGTAAATTAGGAAACAACGTGATTGATCTGAGAGCAGGGAACCGGGAATTTGGCTGCACAAATTTTCCGTGATGGGTAAATCATTCGATGATCTCCCAGGGAAAGTGGACACGATTATTTATTTTGGACATATCCTGGCTTTGCGAAATTGACAACTTAAGCTTATGGCACTCTGCTGTGCTGTTCTGCTCCGTTCTTTATGCTCGACTTACCGTGCGAAAGTCACCGATCTATATACACGCATCCATGTGTATTGCTGCTGCTTTTATGACTTCGGGCAGTTTTATTGTTTTCCCTGCTGGCGAATATAATAATCCTCGACTTCGGCTTGGTCGATGGTCAGATGGGACAGTCGAAAGTCCGTTTGCCTTAAGCTCGCGTATCCTTTTTCCTTCTTTATTCTTTATTCGTTATTTGTTATTTCCTTTTTTATTTCTTTTGTAGGTGTTCACACAATTGCACACGCACACACACTTATTGGTATATATCGTATTGGGAAACCGTTCTGTTGATTTTTCATATATCCTGCACCGAAAAATATTTCATTTCATGTTTTGAAGCGAGTTTCAATTGCTTTCACTTTTCACAGGATTCCGCTTTTATTTGCCTTTGTTCGCTGTCGTCGCTTTCCGTTTTTCGTTAGATCCTTTGTTGAAAAATGATTCGTTTGCTACATTTTATTTGTCTCATTTAATTTTTGTTTTTGGGACTTAAAAATTGGGTTTTCATTTATATTTAAAATTGCCACTCTGCTTGAATTTTTTTTAATGCGTTTCATATGGCTTTAAATAAATAAAAGAACGTTATTTTTGTAATCGTTTTTCGTTCCGGCAGAATTTGCGACCAACCCAAAATGTTTATAAAAGATTCACTACTTATTTCTCGGATTTCATTATTCATTAATGGAAACGGTATTTGTCGAAGCTTTCAAAAAAGCAAAATACCACACCCTGTTGTAAAATTACAGGGTTTTTTTATTTACGGTTTTTTCAGCACGTTAGTGGCCTGGTTTTTGACCAATGACATAACCAGAGATTAAATATTAAAAATCTTTTTAATCCCTAATAAAAAAATATAACCCAACGAAAATATTTAATTTATATAAAAAAAATGATAAATGCATAAAATGAAACCAAGGTAATCTTATCCACTTAAAACATATTTAATCATTTCCGAAAGCGAAGTCATATTAATACTGGTTTCAATGTTAATCGTCATTAAAGGCTAGCAATGAAATAAAAAAAAGGGCATAAATAATTGAAATTAGAAGCTAATGAAATAGAAAAAAGTAAAACAAAATCATTGATTTTTATAATCAATCAATTTTTAATAAATACAAAGATTTTATTTTATAAAAATATATTACTGCTGAAAAAGGGAAAACAAAATGCCTGAAACTGATTAAATTTTACTAGGTGGTGTACTCGCTCATTGCTGAAAATATAATACTTTCGAATAAAATAAGCAAATTAAAACGAAATGACTGACAAAATTGTCAGCCAGAAGTAGTTGATAATTGCGATCCTTGGCTTTTGTCGAGTTGAACTGCCGACAATTGAAACTTTTGCTTGCCTACTTTCAGGGGTTACGGTGTCGTTGGCGTTTGCCTGGCTTAATTATTCCATCCACGACGATTAAGCTTACAAGAGCCTAATTGCATGCAAGTCGTGCTGCGACGGGGCAAATAAAAGGCATGCAACTTGGAAACCCCCGCCCAAAAAAAAGGGAGCGTCAATGACCGTTAAGTGGAATGTGGCTAACGTTATACTTTTTCCATCACAATTTCTATATTTTTTTTCGGGATTCTGCAAACACTTGTACGCAACAAAAAAAAGAAGTGTGTGAGACGAGAAAAAGCGTAAAATAAATAAAGATGGAGAAATGCCGCAAGGCAGCAGACAAAAGGAGAAGATGACGCGGCTCCATAACGGATTCTTAAGCCTTGGCATACATTTACATTTCACGCACACACACACACAAACACACAGAGGCAGAAAAACGTAGATGTGTTTGTCGATTCGCTTTAATTTCGCATAGATAAAAGGACAACTTCTGCCTGAAACACATTTTCAATTGCTCACATTTACAGCTTGCGATGTGATACACTCACACAGCCGCACAACGCACACTTACACTCACGCAGCGAGCGGGGAGGAGAGAATAGGAGTAAAAGTACCGTTTTGCCACGTGCAAATTTCCGTCGCCAGAACGATTCGAATTTTTGTGTCCACGACGCACGAGTCTATTCCAACGACTGAAGATGCCTTTCGTCGCTGGCCAGGCTTCAGACCTCTTCGGCAATGTGGGTTAAGCTCCCAAAAATCATATTCTCTATGCTTCTCCTGGAGAGAGAAAGAAGAGATAGAGAGAGCGTTTGCCTGGAAGTGGAACCCATTTAAAGCTCTCTCTCTCTTAAATCGAATCAGCTGTTGGCTGATTTTCCTCTCCCGGAAAAGCGGAAAAAAGAAAAACGTCGAAAAACCAAAATAACAATTGGGAATTAAGTCAATTTGGTGGCGGTTCTCTTTTTGTTATTTTTCTTCTACTTCACCCCCATCTGTGGAACTCTCTTTTGTTTTTGCGCTTTGATTCTCCGCTTCTACGAATTTAATGCCGTCGTTATTACCGTAGTCACATGGCGACAGGCCCACTCAGCTTTTATTGGGGCAGGTAATGGTTCCTCGATGCCGCTTCCTATTCGACGAATGACAGAGTTTTTATTCCACATTTTAATGGCTTATAGAGGCAAAAACATCGGTACTAACTGCGTATAACTGGGTAAAGGTAATTAAATAAGTCAAAATTATTAAAACTTACTGCTACGTCATTTGTAGATTGAAATGTTATAAATATGGTATATGTATCAGCACCTGTATAATAAAAACTTTGGTAGTTTAGTTTGTTATAATATAAAAACGGAATTATATAGGAATAAAATTAAGTTGGCTTATAAGATTTATGTTTTCGATTACTTTAAGAATATTAAAATAGTTTTTAAAGTTTTTACTTGTGTATCGATTTATATTTTGAACAAATTTTTTTTTATTTAAACCCAAAAGAAATGAAAAAGTCTTTCCATATCGAAAAGTTTCTAAAATAAATGATTTTAATTCTTTCGGTATAATAAAAGCAAAATATAGTAGAGAAACAATAGAACGTCTTTCCGTAAATGGTGGCAAGCTTAAAAGCAGAAAACTTTGTGATATATTTTGCCCCATAAATCCCAGCACCGGAAATCTCACACATGTCGACGGGCAGAACGCTAACAAGACAAACCAGCTTACCAGCAGCAGATTCGCCAGCCACGAGCTCCTTTGTCATCATCAAAAATGCCGAGAAAAGCGAAAACCACCCCGAGAGCAACAATGACAACTCCAATGAATGGCGACAAATCAGTTAGCTAAATGCTGCCGAGCCAGGCGTGCGTGCGATTTGACCGCACAGTTCGTGAGATTCCATCATCGAAAATCCATACACCAGGCGAAGGACAAAGAATCCGGGGACATAATTGAAAGCGAAAGGCGTGGCGGGGAGGAAACCTTCAGAGGGCGGTGAAAAACAAGTGGAAATAATTTTCCAGCATAAATCATGGCACGCCAAGTTATTACAGTAATTTCATGATAAATGTCCGATAAATAAATGTATAAATAAAAGTCTCTCGGTTGAGGGAGCAGAGGGCAGGCAGCGATGTCTAATGAAGTAGCAGCAAAAATCATGCTGTGCCGGGACGGTCCACACTGCGTATGCGTGATGCTTGATGCCTGGATGTCTCATGTCTAATTGGATTAATGAGAGGTTATTGCACCCATTCCAAATAATTCTCGGTCGGTGTCTGTTTCACCCATTCCCATGGTCGTAAATATTCAAAAATAACAATGGCTAATCAGCCACTGGAATGGCCTGCACACACAGGCATAAATCAAATTATTTTCTATTTAATTTTGGGATTTCTTGCTCTGATAAAAACCAAAAGCCGTGAAGCTTAGTTCTCGGCTCCTGAAATGTTGAGCCATGCCCACCATGGACATCTGCCATGATTACGAGCTGCGCGTGTTAGAACCCTTGATATTTATATATATTTACCAGTATACTTATATAACATCATGTGTGTGGGGGGTTGGCTTAATTTATAGGCTTTGTATGCAAAGCTCGGAACGCGAAATTTCAGCTTTCACATTTTCGCAATGGGAAAAAAGTTACTTGGAGGAAATATACATATTAGGCATAGCGAAATGTCAAAAATATGAACCGGATGCCAAAAATAATACCATTAGCTATCACGGAATCTCAGACAGCATTTCAAAACAATTTATGTTACGCGAAATTCCAGACAAAGCGGCGTTAAACGGGTTTGTAACAAATTTAATTTTTAATTAATGCCATTAATAACAACGAGGAGATCCGCGGAGGAGCAAGGCATGTTTTAATGGGTGCAGACGGGTGAAGCGACGGGGGTCTGATTTTTAACGCGCAATTGAAGTTTACAGCCGTCCGAAAATGCGTTGCCTTGTCTGTGTTTTCCGTTCGTCCGTCCCGGCGAGATGGAAACAACCGCAAAACAAAACTTTGCAATTTGCTGCGAGTACAAATTGGAAAATCTCCCTTCAGGCGGTCGGAATGAGGGGAAGCTGGGCCACCAGACAATGCTCACTTAATGCGCGGCCACGAGCCGATCCGCACTTTAATTGTTGATTATACAAATTGTTTGATGCCCATGGAAGGCCCTTGCAGATCCCACGGTCCGTGGTCCGTGGCCCGTTGCAAGGCCATAAAATATTCAAGTTGAAGAAGAGTTTTCCACGACGGGCACGCACTAAAAACCACAAATGGCAGGCTGATGTTGGGATGGACAGGGCTGGGTTGTAGATGAGGAGCTGAATGGTGAATCCTTCTGTGGAGCCAGTCGACATTGCCAGCATGCTTGTTGTCATCCGAGCCGGCCACATAAAAGTGTAATTAAGTTCGCGTGTCGCACATTTAATTGTTTTTTAATGAATGAGGGAGCAAAAATCATTTTACACAGCAGCTGCATTTCATAGGCATCAGGCATCCGAAGCAACCAGGACAAGGACAGCTCCCAGGACTACCAGGACTCGTTGCATTTTTCCGATGGGGTTTTTTTTGCCTGTACTCCCTGGCAACCGTGCGAAAAATTGTATTTTTCCCCCGACGCCAAAAATTTAATTATTTCCGTTTCTCTGATTTGTTTGAGGCCGAAATTGAAAAAAACTGGCGGGGCCATTTAAATATGCCGTGAACCCGAACAATTCTTATGGCAAACATTCCACTTTCTGCTGTCGGTTGTCGCTCTGTTCACAAGTGAATTGATTTCACTGGCAAAGGGCTGCGGACATGAGAGATTTATTCAAATAAAAAAAAAACTTTTGTGTAAAATTCGAATAAAATAAAGCCGAATAAACATTTGGTTCGTTTCCATCAAGATACAAAAATACTGTGAAACAACAGAGAATTTTGTATTCAAGTTGGATGGTCTTAGGGATACATATTTAAATCCACATTTTTAAACACATTTACCACTCGCATACTCATATATCACAGGACTTTGTGTGTGGCATTAAATTTATGATTCAAGAAATGCAATAATGCATAAATAGAATATATTTATCGACAACCATTTCCAAACTATTAAAAATTCTGTCATAAATCAATAAAAAAATACACAGCAAATGCGATTTATGCGATGCCAGGCACTTGATGCTCGAATGTGTGTGTAATTCGCACAAAATATTTTATATGTAAATTGCGGAGGAAGACTCGAGACGCCCGTCGATTTCTGGCGACTTTTGAAAATATATGCAAGGAGTGAAAAAAAATGTATTGCGAAAAGGGAGGCGAAACAAAAAATATGAAATGCCAACCGGCGAAATGCCGACTGTCGAGCGTTGGTTTCTCCTTCTGCTTATTGGCGCACTTTGCTCCTTTTACGGTTGCATGAATTTTTGAGCAGCTTCACTTCCGGTTATAGTAGCCGGAAATTGCAACAGAAATACTTGCCACACACACACACAGGCATATGTATGACATTTGTATGCAAATACGGAGTCGATGATTTTGCATATGTTTGTCCACGAAGTGCCACAGTGCGTATGCGTGATGTGCACAAGCGACGTTGCTCTTCTTCCGCTTTATTTTTATTTCCCCAACAACATTCACCTGCAACGGCGTGCTTCCCCTGCATATTTCCCGTTCTTAACTTGCCTTGGCTGAGGCCCTGGGGCCCATTGATGGCTGCCAGTATTTATGAGTCGCATAAAAATGGCAAATTTGTGGCAGTCATTGAGTTATTTTCAGGTGTCTCTCTCCGCCGTCTCGCTGGGGAAGAATTCTCGCAGAGAAGAAGAAGAAGATGGAGAAAACTACTATGGGGGGTTAGCTAAGTGAGTCGGATTTGCATATTTTATATGGCAAGGATTTGTAGAATTTCCTCCGAACGCTGAGAATTTCGTAGCATTTCCATTTTTTCGACAGTTTACGATGGCAGCAAAAAAAAAAAAACAAACTGAAAGAGCAGCGCTGTGAGTACACTTGAGGGCCAGAGTAATTGAAATATTTATTAATATTTTACTAACTTTGGGAAATATATAGAACATATTAGAATGTTAAGAAAATATTTTATATCATATTTATACCCGTTGCTCGTAGAGTAAAAGGGTATATTAGATTCGTGCAAAAGTATGTAACAGGTAGAAGGAAGCGTTTCCGACCCTATAAACTATATATATTCTTGATCAGGATCACCAGCCGAGTCGATCTAGCCATGTCCGTCTGTCCGTCTGTCCGTCTGTCTGTCTGTATGAACGCTGAGATCTCAGAAACTAGAAGCTAGAAGGTTGAGATTTCCCACATATATTCTTTGGCTTCCTACGCAGCGCAAGTTTATTTTAGCCGAGCGCCACGCCCCCTCTAACGCCCACAATCGCCCACTAACGATTTAAAATGGGACCTGCGCCCACATCTTTAAAAATTTCCGAAAAGTAAAAATGCAATTTTGTTGTGTATATTTATTCCTATCGAAATGTAGAAGACATTTTTCAAATCGGACCATTCTTTAAAAAGTTATACGCAATCAAAATTTATATATCTATCTCCCTCGCACTCCCTTTAGCTGAGTTACGATTATTAGTCGGGATACCAACCCGAGTACAGCGTTCGCACCCCCTTTAGCTGAGTGACGGGTATTAGATAGTCGGGACACCAACCCGACTATAGCGTTCTCTCT